AGCACTTCATTTTGTGTATCATTACACGTTAATTCACAATGTAGTCTTGCAACTTTTTTTCTGATTTCTTTTTGTTTCCCGTATACTATTTCTTTTGATTGTGATTACTTCTTCTTCTTCTTCTTCTTGTACTTTTTTCGATTTCTTGCAATACTAAAACTACACAAATATTTCTTTATTATTAAGTTAAGCCAAATTTTGTTTCTCGATTAGATTCTTTTTGTGATAGCAGTCATATTTTTTTATTATATTTCAAATTTCTCTCTCACACTACGTGGGGAGAGAGTAGACTATTAGAAAGCACACACAACAAATGACGATAGGCAGGCAAAAACGACAAATGTACACGTAGAGTGAGTGTCAGCAGACAAGAATAAAATAGAAAAATAAACGTCGTTACACAACCACGTCGATATGTAGACTGACTAAAAAATTGGCAATTTTGGGGTCTCTGTTAGTTTCCAAACAACTTTGCCATGCCATGCTAGCCAGCCAACACACACATGACAGTCTAACAGGGCCCCAACAACACAAGAGTACGAACAACGCACAGTGCTCTTATTGGAGTGTGAACGTGTTAAGAACCACCAAGCAATCTCACAAAGAGAAACAATAACAGAGAGAATAAAAGTTAACAGAGTTCTGTTAATAGGGCGACCTCATGAGAATCTGCTGCTTTTCATTCATCTGCCATGGTGAATGAGTGGCTGTGTGTGTGTACTAATTGGGGGGAAATAAACAATAACAACAACAAAAGCACCGAGAAAACAAATGCCGGTTGCTCTCTAAATGACTACGAGACATGTCATTGTCCTCCTCTTCTCTTGCATTAGTTGCTTGGTTATTAGCCGTATTTTCTAACAACATTTTGGCATTTGTTTCATAGAGTATTTAAAGAAAACAAATACAACAACAACACAATCAGCATTAAACAAGAAAAAATGAAGGAAGTTTAGTTGTTTTTGGTTGTCATGAGATACGTCATGCTTATTGTTATTGTGCTTCAGTAATAAACAATTATAATTTCGAAAAGCAGCTCAATGATGTACTAATGGCTGGCGGGTTGGCTGGCTTAGAACACCAAACAGGTTGGTTACTTTATCTTTAAACAAAAATAAAAACAACAACATTGTTTGTGGCAAATACCACACACACTCACAAACATTTAAACAAAAATTCAACCACAGGCCATGGCCACTGTTAAGCTTGAATTAAATTCGATGTCTTCATCAGAGTGAGAACGAACCTACATACCTAGGTATTTCAAAATGAAATAGAAATGTAATGATGTCATTTCGTGTGAAGTGAAACTAGCCGACAATAAAACAAACATGCGGGTTGGATTTACAAGTCGCTAACAAGTTTAAAGCCTACCGATTTTATTCTTTCTTCTTAGCCACATATCCATATAGCAGCATAGTAACTTGAGGCCACAGTAATTTGCCTTTTCGGCAATTTAATGAAATTAATTTTTTGTTATTTATTTGGAAATTGTAATAAAATGTGTCGAAATCGTTATGAAAGTAAAATTTGAGTGTGTGTTTGGTTATACACCATTAACCATAGATGGTAACCTGTTTTTGTTGTTGTTGAGTTCTAAAATAAAAGAGGTTTGTAAGGTTATACGCCTATGCAATATTAATAAGTCTAAGGTAAAAAAGAGGAATGTTTGACAATAGGGGTAATATAACCGTGTCACAGCTGTTGAAGTAAATTTACACCTACAGACATTTTTTTTATTGAAACCAGAGGTGTTAATAAAATGATTTTAAATTAAAGAATTTGTAACCAATTATCTTGGTAGAATACATTGAAAATTTATTTTAATGCTAAATGCGGCAAAAATTAACCTTTTGGTATAATATATTCGAAAGCAATATTGAAACTAATAGCGGCAAAAGGTATACTACAGCCGACTAAAGTGTATACAAATGAATTTTCAAGAAAAAAAAAATGTAGAATAATGGTGGTCACTATATAAAAAACAACTTGAAAATCAACATCCCGAAACATTACCAAACCCTTAAGGGGGTTTAGTAATGTTATAAATTTTGAATGAAAGTTGTCAGCCCTATTGTGCTTTTATTTACAAACTCAATCAACCAAATATTGAGTTTAAATATTTAATGCAAATTCTCTCATACCATTGCAAATACCAATAGCGGTATCTTATGAAATTAAAAAATACTAATAAAATAATATAAAAAATAAATTATATTGTTTACGATTATTAAATTAACCTTGAACAAAAATATAACAATAACAAACAAAAAATATGTAAATTAAGGAAATAACTCTCCTTTTCAATTGATGTTGTTCGTCTGTCGTCGTATTGTGTGTAAAAATAACAACAACAATAAAGCATTTATCAAACAAATGTGAGAACATTGAATCGAGGAGAATGAATGAAGGGTGTGTAAGAGAAGTATGTGTCATGACGTCGCCTAATACACCATGCATATGCGTGTGTGATGATGATCACTTGAATGACGACATCACAACAATATCACTTGGATCTGAGATCTTGGTACGTGCGAATAGCAAAATATTGTCATCGAATCGTAAACAAAAAGCAAACGAATCATTTTTTATATCTCTAACAAGCCGTAAGGCCATAAAGATTAATCTACTTCTTTTGAAGTTTATAACAAAAATGTGAATAATAAATTAAATAAAACACAACACCAGCAACCAGTGAAATATATAGTTTATAGTTTTAGAGTTATATTAATGAGATGCAAAAGATATGGCGCTTCAATATATAACAGATGTATCTCATATATGGAATATTAAATCAATAAATTTTGGGCGATCAAAAAATATATGTATTAGGGTGTCACGTAAAAGTGGTCTCATGTAGTATATTTTATATTAACTTATTTGGTCATTCAGATGTAAATTGTGTAAAAATTAATATACTCAAGTATTAAATATATATTTAGGTTTTAAAACCATCTATTAGTGTTGGAAAAAAATGAGCATTGATAATCTATGGTTTGATAAAACATCTTACTTATAGAAGAGGCAGATATTTTCTTGTTGTTGTTCTTTTTGGGATTGTGAAATGCTCTCATAGCTAAAATATTTCCATTTAATTCTATAGTTTAATTTAGAAATTACTTAAATAACATATCACATAGACAACGATGTGTCCAAAATTATTTAATTAATTAGAATTCTGACAAATATGATTTAGAATGAGGCGAGCATTTAAAGTATTTCTTTTTTGAACATGAAATCATAGCTTTGATAAAAAAAAATCAATCGCTATTTAGAATACAAAATCCGAATGGCAATGACAAATTCAAACTGAGTTCAATCGTGATTGTTATTGTTCCAAAAACAATAATTCATCAATTACAAAAATTTAATTTAAAATAATAAAACTATTTTGCATCATGATGTTATGTTATACTAAACATTTATGCGTAAACAACAATTTCAATACCCAATGAAATCATTGTCAACAAGATTTAGCTGAAGCTAAACAACATTCATAAACAATTAATATTCTAAAGTAGCAAACAGAGCTGCAAAATAAAAAAAATATGCTACTAATGGACGAGGCTTACTACTGTTGTGGGTATTTTTAACTCTGACATAAACAGATGTGAAAAAGTGGGTGACAAAGAATCAATACAAGTTTTCAATTCACAATCTATTTGTTAATACATAAAAGTATTCGATTGGAGGTGACAAATTAATCGCCTAAGAACGGAAACTATATAATTTGGATAAATTAATTTTAGACATTGCTACGAGGGATGATGATAAACGATCTCAGCCTTAAACTTTAGTTTTAAAATGCAGTCATAATTCGTTTTGTTTTCGATTTTGCACAGATATCACGTCATCATCTGAAAAGTTATTTTTTGTTTATTTTTTTAATTTATCGCTTGTATAAACAAATTTATTTGAAGATTGAAATTTATTGTTTCGTTAATGCAGTTGTACGGTTGTTGTGATCATTTACTCGCTTAAAACAGGTTTAAAGAAAAAATAATGGATAAAATAGATTGAATATAGCAGGTTGGTGGCAAAAATCTCCTCTATATTTGCTGTTGGTTTGCCTTCAGGACCCATACTCTGATTTCTTGTTTGGTCACAGAATATTTTCATGAATTGATTTATAAAATAAAAATCGTATTCTATTTCAAAAAAAAAAAAAATGTTTTTTTTTAAATTTTTGGCTAATTAGTTAGATATGTAAATAGAAAAATCTAATTTTGGAATTAATTCTATTCAAACTGCCCACACAGAAAATTAATGACACTGACTGACAGTGGCAACAAATAAAATAAAGATGTGAATTCACGTTTGGTAATTTTGTAACTCTTTTGAAGTTAAAACCAGTTGAAGTGTTTACAAATGGTCGAGATGTCTAGCTAAGTCAAATATTTAAATAATATCAGTATTGTTGTTCTTGTTGTTTTTTTTGTCGAGTTTTTTTTTAAACCAGTCTAAAAAAAATAATATTCAACATTTGTGTGCTGCCAAGAATAATGTTTTGTTTGCATTTAAATAAAAAACGAACTCACATCATAATAACAAAAATACCAAACTGATTAAAAAAAGCCAAAATTAATATTCACAGCCATTTAGGAAACGATTCTAAAGTTTAATTAATTTTCAAATACGATACGTTTTTTTAAGGAATGCAAAACAAATTTAAATAGCTGTCAGTGGTATATTGTTTATGGACATAAAAACGAGAAGTGGATTTTGTGAAAGCGAATTATAAAAAAAAATCTATTAAAAAATAGGAAATTGATTTATATTGGAGCATCAGACAAATAATAAAAATACATTACGAAAAATATGCTATAATGAAATTTGTAATTCACAATAAATACGCCCTTTTTATGTGGGATATCTGGAAAATTTCATTTTCAATAAATTCGTATTTAAAACATCAGCATTTTTTTTGCAAACACACAACTTGCTTATATATCGAATTAAAAATAAATGTAAAAAAAAGAATTTTTTTAATGAAAACTTACCAAACCATCGCTACCGTTCACTTCGATAGCCGTCTTAAGACGCTGTGATAATTGTTCCAATAATCGATCGTATTTCGTATTTAAAATATCCAAACGTTGGCTGTAATACTGTGTTGCTCCGGGATCACTATCCGCGGGACGTAAATCACGACGCGGCGGTGAAAACGAGGGACGTGCTTCCAATAGCCAATCGATGAAGCGCAGACATTTACCATCGTAAATCTTTACAATTTTAACGCCGAGGAATTTTGTTGTATATATTGGTAGTTTGTTTATTTGATTGTGGTTTATATTGTTTGTTTGTTCGTTTTTAAGGGGGTTGATTGGTTGGTTGAGGGGTTAAGGTTAAAAGTTAAATTGATTTGTTTTGGTTAGTAATTGTATTGTTGTTTTTTTTCATTGATAAGTAAAAAAAGTTACAAAAAATTGGTAAGGAATTAGAATTTCGGTACGAAAAATATTTAGTGCTTTTTTAATACAGTTGATTTTGGGTTTTAAAATTAAAATTGGTTGGTTTTAAAATTAATAAAAATAGAATTTTGTTGGTCAAATTCAAGTTATTTACACACCACCAAAACAAAATTATTAATACTTAAATTTTTAATACTTTATCCTTGAGTTATCTTTTGAAAAAGCAATAAATACGAGTATACCTTTGGAATTTGTTTCCGAACAAAAAATAATGTACACGCAGAACTAAATTGCATATATGTAGTAATTGAACATGGTCATTTTCGAAATACTCTTACCCGTAGAATTTCGAAATAAAACCAGTATTTTCTTTACAACAATAAAAAAAACAGACGCGATATAGATAGTATAGGACATGAATAGTGTATAGGAAAAGTGTGGAATGTTTCAAGTAATTTCATCATCATTTACCTTTGCTTCTCTTATAAGTTTGCCTCCAGCCAAGTTGACATTTTCGATTTTAGGTTTTCGTTCGATAGCAGCTCCCAGCAATTTCTTTTGTAATTTGATGGTAAAGGATATTTTTTTATAACAAATAGATGTGTATTTGTTTCCCGTTGGTCACGTTGTGTGTTTAACCGAACAACGACATTTATGGTCGGAAAGTTACATTATTTTGTGACAATTTTAGTTTGTTTAAATTGTGTTTTTGGTAAGATAGTACATAGTATTTATGTGTATTTTTTGGTATTGGTTTTTGTTTGTTTGTTTTTGGGTGAAAAATACAAAAAATTAGACAAAAATACAATTAGTTTCAAATTTTTCTACAATAGTATATATTGCGGGGTAATTTTAATTTATTTTCGACACAAACACTTTAGTAATTCATTGCTCCATTTTGTGTCATAATTTAATTAAAAGAACCCTTAATCATTTAGTGCAACAATATAACAAAATATAAAAAAAATAATCAAAACATTATTGTATACATTTCAAAAAACCACTACAAAATAAAATATTTCTACAACGTTAGGGGGAGAGAATATAACATTTGGATTATGAAAAGTAAATTGGGAGTGACAGTTGTGGTGTTGGTGTGACTTATTTATTTTGGAATTTCAATTTTGCGATTTACTTTTGATAAAATATTTTTGGTATGGGGGAGCGGGTAATGTGTGTGCCAGTGTGTATTTTTGTACATGACCAATTTAAAATTTGTCATATAAATGTGTATGTATGTGTGTGTGTGGATGTTTGATATTGATTTCTAAGTGAGCACAAAAATGTATCAATCACAGGTTTATCAAATTAATTTCTAAATATTTTGTTGTTTTTTGTATAAAAATTAATAATACATTAAACTACCACCCTTAACCCTAGAGAACAATTCAATTCTACTTTGGCTCTTATTGTTGTTGGCAATAGCTGCAATTCTACAAAATAATATGAATGTACACTTTGTTGTTGTACACAATAATGTAATAAAGGACAAAACAATGTGTAATTTTCAACGACATATTAACACACAATAAAAAAAACAACAACATTGAGATACGTACTATTATAATCATAAACTCTATGGGGAAAACAACACACATTTAATCCAAAAAATATATGGGAATGTATGGGAAACAGGTGGCAAGGACACAACAAGATATAATAACACAAGACAAAATAAATTTAACCAACACCAATAAAAAAATTCTCAAAAGATTGCAATTGCAAATTATTTAAAGGGGATTTTTCGACAAGAAAAATATATACTTTGTGTTTTCCTTCTTTTTTACTAAGAAAATTTGGATTTGGTATTCAGTGAAACTTACTTAAAAAAATAATAAAAAAATGCTTTTGAAATTCAAATAACCTACTCTAAATGAAAATAAACTGGAGAAAAAAAACTTGTCCTAACTGTAGACTAACTAAATTGATAATCATAATATATAATAAAAAATAATAAGACTAACAAATGTTCTTCGTTTTTCTATACTCACATCCAATTCATAAGCTGAGGTAGCTGTAGGCATGGCGGACAATCTTTCCGTTGTGCCATCTACCCATGATTCTTCGACTTGTACGCTTGATTGGAGATTCTTCATAAGGCCAATGGCGTTTTCGCATGAACGCATTCTGTAAAAGGGAGACACAAATCATTAAATTAACATTTAACAAATATTGTAAAACAAATGAGTACAAATGTCTACATTTGCGGTATCACACAAAATGTGTCTGATTGTCTTTAGTGACGTGTTAAGGTGTCAGGTAATTGGAAATGCTTTGAATGTACGTACAGGTGGTACAATTGGATGTCATTGAAGTATAACCAAGTAAGAAGGTGTGCTCGGTATCATTTAAGAACTGTAAAAGGGGGGTACCTTTAACATGGGAATAATTGTCAGCACTGTTAAACGTGTATAACAACACACGTAGGTTTTATTATCATAATATACAAGGCAATGTGGAGTAGTAAAATATTTAATAAAACTATAAATACTTATCTTCTATATAAGGAATATGTTCACCAAAAAATAGAGGGGATTTATGATGTAGTGAAATAAGACAGTAAGGCGTTTGGAATGTCACAAGTTCTACACGTTAACAGAGCAAAAATGTTGACAACTCTTAGTTACAACAGAAAAATATTTTAAAGAATTATTTTATTATTTAAATGATCACTATCCCGCTTCTGTTGATATAAACAGATGTTACATTTTAAAGTTTTCTCAAATAATTAAAGTCAGTTTTCCAAAAGCTTGAAATGTGTTGCGGATAATATCGCGAGAATATCATCTAATTTTAGTTAAAAACTACAGATATTAAAACAAAACATTTTTGAAATTTAACACAAACAATTCCTATTCAACCCAAAGACATTTCTCATTAGTCGGTACTATTATGTGACACCCGCAGTAGCATTGCTATCTTCCTCTTCTCTCATACATACCTCTCTGCCAATTGATTGCATATTGCACTCCAACGAGTATTTAAACGTTCAACATTTGCATGCAAACGTTTCAAATCACCCAATACTTGTGTTGGTACACCCATACGACCCAATTGATCAGCGGCATCGGTCATTTTATCCATTTGTGGCTGCTGTTGTGTGATCAAGTCTTGCATATGTGTCAATTGTTTGAACACCATTTCTAAACGTTCCGGTGTAGAGGGAAGATCTTGATGTTTGGCCAGTTGATTTTCAATTTCCGATATAAAATGTTCATTATCCTCTAGACCAGCCAGAGAAGCTTCCAATAGTTTTAGGCGATCCTTGTGCAAATTGCTAAGGGTATTCAATTCTTTCCACAACACCATCAAGTTGTCCAGACTCTTTTTGAGAGCTGGTGTTTTCAATGCAATGGTGCGGAAAGTTTCTTGCAGATGTTGTAATTCTGGTTCCAAGAGTTGTAGACGTCGCTCATAATCGGAATGGATTTCCAAAACATGTTCCAGGGAATCCAAATCACGTGGCAAGGGAGCACTGATAATTTGCTGCAATTCACGGGCCATATCTTCCAATTTACCCTTGATGGCAATGCATTCTTCGGTGAAGATGCGACTGGCTTGTTTGCTTTCCTCTGCAATAGACAAATTCGTTAGTAGTGTACTTAAAAAATTATTGAAAGGCAAAGGAATGAAAGGGGAAAAAGAAGAAAATCATGCTCCTTCATAGTACCCCTTGTTTTTCGGCTAGCGAATAAATTTTTCATTTTGATATTGAACTTTTTGCTTCCACTGCATTGGCAGAACTAACTTAGTATCGACAATAAAACACATTGATGACAAATGTTCAAAATTGCCCCAATGTTGTGGCCAGATGTTCTTAAGGCATCCAATTCTTCTTCAATTAAACGTTAATTGAAACGGCGTTTTCCAGACATAAAGACCCACGCGGTTACCTTCAAATTTATTACATTTCAAGTGCGTGGCGACAAATATATATTCAGGGGTATTCTGGATAGTAATCACGCCCACGGTTTTCAGTAACTTCCAACAAATTGTTTGTTTCAATTATCTTTGAGGCTTAGTATTGAGCAATTGTTGATCACTTTTTTTCCTTTACATTACCTTCATATAAATCGATCTATAAACCTACCTTCTGCTCTAGCTCTCTTCTCGAATTCATCAAATAGACGATTGACTTCATCCATTTCGCGTCTCAAACGCCTCAATTGTGGATCGTTGGGATCGCCTTCACTAAGTAGTTTGTCGGCATCATCATTCAATGCTCTACGTATAGCGGTACGCTGTTCCGGTCCCATGGCCAAGAATTGATCAAAGTCCCAATCCTTGACAACACGTATGGTGGCAAATATCATATTTTGTCTCAGACGTAAATGTTTCTTTTGCCACAGACTGACAGAACGATCGAACAAACGTTTTAGACGTTCAGCAGCATCAATAGCTTCTTTGTCTGGTGGAGGCATCAGTAGGCAAGCACTTGGTACCAAGCCTTCTTGACCCTTTGCGGTGCGAATGCGCCATTTGACACGTCCTGAATTATCAAGGAGGGTACATGTTTCTCCCTTTTCGACGGGTATTTGACCTTGCTGGTTGTAGGCACATATGGCCTGAACGGGACTTTGACGATTCACTGGTTGACGTCGCTTATTTAAAGGTACAATAGTTTGGGCTCGGTGTTGCAGTTGGGCAACAGTCTCACCAAAGGCATTCAATTCTTCGCGCAAATCTTGCATGCCACGCAACAATGCTTCGCCTTGATCTAGGCCAAATTCTGATTTGGAATATTCACTGTTGAGAATTTCATCTCGCTTGGTAAGCCACTGTTCGGCATCTTTGATTTCGTCAAAGAATTGGTGATATTCTGTGGAATGCTTCAAGTGTACCTCCAAACAGAGCGTCAGTTGTAAAAGCCATGCCCATTGTTGCTGCAAGGCTGTTAGATGGGCTTCAATACACTTGGAGGCGGGATGTTGCTGTCTGAGGAGCGTCTCACCACGATCCAATATGGTACCAAAGTGTAATTCACGTTTTTCCAATTCGGACATTAGATTCTGTGGAAACAAAGATTTGCGATTAGTAAAATCAAGTCGATAATATGAAAAATAGAAAAAAAGCCAATATCAAAGAACAAAAAATAAAAGAAAGTAAAAGAAAATATTAATAAGCGATTGGAGAAAATTAAAAAAGAACACAAATACGTCTGCAAAATAATATTTAGTAAGGACCGTATAAATAAGCTTTGGCCTCAATTAAAAAGCTTAAAAGGCATATTGATTGAGAATAAAATTCGAGAAACACTCTTGCCAACGAATAATTTCAAAATATGAAACTCTTTAAAATATTGGTTCAATAAATTAATGCACTTGGTAAGAGATACAAACATAATCTAATTAAACAAAAAATCGAATTGAAAAGATAACATTTTCATTAAAAAATTAAGATGAAAAATACAACAATAATAAATATCTAATCAAATTACAAACTCAATTGAAGAATCGTCATTTCTCTATCTCACCTCTTCTCCATTACCAAATGCACGCTTGTTATGAAAATTGCAAGAATTAAATAAATATGAATAGAAAAAAGCTATGTGATTAGCATTGTTGTTTGAATAAATTTACATTTGGGATCAAGCGATATTTTAGTACAGCACAATTTATTTTTTTAGAGGATACTAATTATTAAATAATTCTAACTTACCTCGTAATATCTGTGCACAGAGGCCAAATCTAAATTCTTATCGGCCCAATCACGTGTTATTTCAATTTGTTCCTTTTCATTGAGCCACTGCAATTCAGCCGATGCCTGGGCCAGGAAATTCTCCAACGTATCCAAGTCGGATAGACGTTTTGTGGATGTGCTCAGTAGTTCGGCATACACCTTTTGCAATTGATTCAAGCGTTGTTGATAGAGGTTCAGTTCATCGCCAGAGAACTTGCTCTGTTGACGTTCGTCGTTGAGTATTTTAGCATGGAATTGATCGATAGCCTTGTGGGCATGTTGTTGGCGATCGCGTTCCTCCTTCACCGAGGGCAAATCGGAGCCATAATCGGCGGCAAGCATTTGTTTCAATTTGTTTTGGCACCATTCGATGTGTTCCAACAGGTCTTTGAAGAGGGGATTTGTTTCGATTTGGCGTGATTCGACTACAGTGCGATGTTGGCGTATTGTAGATTTTTCAAGGACGGGGTATTTCAGTTCGGTCAATTTTTGTACCAGAACTGTATGGAATGTAGTTTGCAGCTGAACCCAGCGTTGGTGCAGCTTAGTGACCTTTTTGTGTAGCTCAGCGGCGTGTGGATAGCGTCCTTCGTTGAGAACATGGCAATCCTGATTCATATCTTGTAGAGGCTCCTCGAGAAGACGGATTTCCGTTTCCAAAGATTCTACAATATTTTTAGCATTGACAGGATGCAGAGTTTCAATGTGCCTTGCCTCCTCGATGATGCGTGTTTCCAAATCGGTAATTTTCATGTCAACGTGTTTAATTTCACGCTGTACCTTATCGGCAAGACGTTGCAAACGTTCCAAACGTTCGATTTCTTGTTGCAGAATCATATCACGATCCTGCATGGCGGTTTGCATGCGATACCATGCTTTTTCGATGGCCTCGGGACGCAAATCGGCTTCTACATCAATTTCGCCGATACTTTCAAAGTAACGTTCGAGCTCTTTGTAGATTTGTATCAATTTCGACTTTTCACGTTTGCGAGCCGATACCTCCTCATTGCGGAAGGTATGTAGGTCATTCAACAAACGTTTCAGCTCAATTAGAGAGGGCGGGAAGGAGCGATCTTGCAAGTATGCGGTCTTTTCCCGGCACCAATAGATAAACTGTTGGGCCAGATCACGATATTCATGGACACGTCGTTGTGATTCCATATCAAAGAGTGGATGGATGGCAGGTGGTTCTGGGAATACATCATACAATGATGATATATAGGTAATTAAAGATTTCTCATCGGGTTCGTTGGTGTCAACATCTAGGGGAGGAGTAAAAAAAAAGAAAATTAATTTTATTTCAAAGCTTATGTGCATATATAGTTCGATGGTACTTACCCTCAGGATCTAATAGACGTGTAACACCATATTCTTTTTCGACAATATGGAATGCATTCTCCAAACGTTCTCTTGGTCGATCGTTTCTTGCCTTTCGCCAGTCAAGCAAGTCCGGTCGATTACGATGAACCAGGGCTGAGAATGCCAAACCATCGCGCCATGACGATGTAAAATCGTTGACACGAACTCCCGGATACCGAGCAGTAGAGCGACGGGCCCAACGCAAAAGTGCCTCACGTGCTGATACATTGTCTTCTTTGCCAACAACAATATCGGAGATCTGTGCAGGAATACATAAGGGAATTATTGTTTAAATGTAATTAATAAAAGGTGTTGTTATTTTTTAGGGAAAAGGGAGTTTTTTTTAATATAGGTTGGTATGTATTTCTGTAGTTGTCCCATGAGCGCTGCACAATAATATTTCCAAAAAGGCAAAGGGCAGTTTAATAAATATTCGTAATTGGGTTGTATTAACCCCACATTTGGAGAAGAAAGAAATGTAAATATACAAATATATTTTGGCCGCTAAATTATTGTAATTGTTAGAAATAAAATGTCAAAAGTTTTTCGAATTTCTAAGATAATTTCCTTGACTTGGTTCGAATTTAAAGTAATTTAAATACTGTGCAGCATCATGCATTTTCAAGAATCATAAGACCCATTTATAAGCTTAGAATTACGCTGACATATTCTGAAATATGCTCGGCTTGTTACACTTTTGCGTGTTTCTCAATTGGTTTTGCTTTGATTTCCTTCTATTCGTTCTTCATCTACATCCGCCTAATTACCTTTGTGCGTCGAATGGTTGTGCTTGTCGATGATGCGGGCTCTATTGCCGGCATAGCAGTGGTTCTGGGCAATGTATGACGATATTCCAATTCACTGCTGCGCACCATTTTCGCTGGCGGCAACAAATCTTCTGGTGGTAATTGCTGCTCTTCCGCCCGACTTAGTGTGGTCACCTTACGCACAATGTGTGTTGTTATACGTCGATGGCCACTCGGACCCCGTTGCGAAGTTTTCGTACTCTCCACACTTGAACCTAATATTTCTGTGGAAATTCGCTTATTGCGTGTCACCTGTTGATATGATTCCTGCAGCTGATGGCGTTCATTGGCCGGACTAGAGGTGGTCATGGCCACAACCGTTTGTGTCACTGGCAAAGGATCACCGCCACCGTTACGAAAAGATTTACGCACAACCAGCGAACGATCATAAGACATGCGCTCATGGGGTGTGGCTGAGTCGGGAGCAACACCCGGATAATCTGTAATTACAGCTTCAATGGTTTTCTCATGTTTGAATTGATGCTGATATTGGGCACTTCTTTCATCGATATTGGTGGTAATGGGCGGACCACGAGATGGTACAATAGCCGTTGCAGAATTTCCATAACCTGCCGAGCCACGCTTTTTCATCAACGATGAAGAAGCGGTGGAGGTTGTAGTCGAATGCATATCTGTCCCTCGATTGTGATTGTGTGAAGCAGTGGTGTTGGCTATAGTACCTCCTCTAAGAGAAAATCGTTTATTGTGGCCCGTTCCAAATTCCTTGTCTATTCTATACATACAATATGTTGAATGTGTTGTGTTGATTTGGATGTTTGTGTTCGTTTTTTTTTTGTTTGTTCGTTGATTTCGCCTAAAAATCGTTTCGTCGTATGTATGTATGTATTTTGTTGTTACATTCGTAGCATATTTTAAATTTGTTTCGCCGGATCGGCTTTTAGTATTTTAAATTAAAAAAAACATCCGTCCATTCTGTAAAAATGGAGTAACAAAATCATTTCAGAATAGCAGTTTTTTGGAACCACTTTTTGTTGTTGCCGGTGATGAGGTTTTTTGTGCTTTTGATTTCCTCTTTGCATTGGTGTTGTGTTGAAGTGTTGCTACTGTTCCCGCAAACATTAACCGGATGTACTGGCTACTAATCAAGCCAAGGGGTTTATAATTCAATGCGCTAGGCCCATTGTGTGGTGACTGACTGAGAGAGAAGAAGAGCGACCGAGCGCGCACATGCGCATTGAAAGCGTTGCTGCTACCGTTAACGTCAACATCAACGGCGCTTGAACGATGATCAATGGAATGATGTCTGCGGTTCCGTTTAGTTAAAACCGTAAAATACCATGAACAATTTGTTGTTTTTGTTTATTTTTGGGGGGAACAAGTGATGTGTGTTGTTGAAGATTCCCTTATGCGGTGGTCTTGTGCCACCGCCAATGGGAGAATGTTTTTGTTCTTTTTTTTATAAATTTTGCAAAGACGATCATGACAAATGAATGAATGGATGAAGAGGAGCAGTGCAAAGAAAATAATTATGATTTTAATTCAAGGCAAAAGTTGTTACACGCAAGTGTACATACGCTAAGGTTCGACAAGTGCTTTAGTCATTCATATATATCTACATACAAAAGCAACAATATCAAGTACCCAACACAATATATTTTCAGCAGATAGATGTACATACAAAATGAGGGAATCTGTGTTTTTTTGCTATTATCATCAACAACAATGACTTAATTTTAAATTTTACATTTTCAGGGTAGAAGGAAATTCAAAAGAAAATGTGGAATTGGTAATGAATATGAAATTATGAATATGCTTGGAAAAACATGACATTCGATATTGGGTGACAATAGGGAAGATTGTCTATGAGGAGTAGGAAATCTTTAAATAGAAACGAAAGTTGTTTTTTTGGTTTGGAAGTTGAATATCCCAGACTTAATAATCGACACTTTTGCATTGTACGTCTTATGTATGCCCTGATTTTAAAGAATTTTTTGTAACTATCTTTGAATTATTTTATATTATGCTCTTGTTTTCCCACACAACAAAACAAACTAATTCGGTTTAATTAAATTTCTTGCTCAGCATGGCACAATTTCGGACTTGAAAAAAGGCCATTAACATCCAGTCCAAAAATGAAGAAATAGTAAACATTGTTAGTTTTTTAGAAAACAACAAAAACCCAACTCAAACGCAAAAACAACATTTCAAAATTCTGAAGATAAAAAACATGAAATTTTAAGCCATTAAAGCCTCTGATGTGCTGTGTAAGACTGATGCCACCGGCTTGCCTATTACCTGCCTGCCTGCCTGTTTCTCCAAAAATAGTCAAACAATGTAGATACGCATAGGTACGTATGTGTGTGACAAAAACATTAGTCATTTGGAGCAACAAACGCCGACGAACAAGTAACTCGCCAATATGAAATAACAATAGAGAGCCGGCAGAACCATCGGCCAGAGTTTTTTTTATGGTCAAAACAATCTAACAAAAAAACAAAGTAGTCAGCGCTATATTGCCCACAGCAGAACCGCGAACATCGAATATCGTACAAAAAAGTCATTTATGCGTTCATCGACATTATGAGAGTTGTTGGGCGCTCTTTAATCGAAAAGTTTACTCTCTCGGTCAGTAGACCGCGAAGAACTTTTTATTGCCCAGAAATGCATGCAGGTCTATGTTCTCATTTGTAATCAAAAAAAAAAATTATTGTTGTATGAAAGTTGTTAGAAATTTTCGAACTACAAAGGAAATACTGAATTCGGATTTAGCTGGACACAATTTTTTAGAAAAAAATAAATATTTAGGAATATATATACAGACGACGTATAAACATTCATGGGCTGCTGATAAATTTAAAGGATCATATGTTGAAATAGAGTTTAGCTATCTCGTTTATGGAACGGTTCGCTCCACAAAAGGTGCAAGGCAGTTCCTTTATTTCCTTCTAGTTCAATCGTTCATTGGTATACCTCATTTTATTCGAAAAATCTGGATTAACCTATTGGACCAAGAGGAACCAGGTAAAAGCAAGCGGATCTAGTCCCGATCGTTCCTTTTGTAGAATAGTTTCTTTGAACTAGTTCCTTCCGGAACAACTGAACTCTAGTTTGAATACTTGAATGAATATTAAAAAATTATATATGTAGAGATCCTAAATCTTTATTTTTCCGGTTTCTTCAATTTATGTTTTGGAATATTGTGTTATAATTTATTGAGGAAAAATTCAATAAAATATGACATTTGAAACATAGATTTGCAGAATTAGGACTTTTTCATGTTGAGGTTCTCGTTTCGTATTCTAACCTAAATATTGCAAATAATACAGCAGTGAAATTTTCTCACCCTAAAAGAGAGTGGGACAGAGAGACATCTAATGCTACATGAACTAATGGAGCCATAAGAGCTGGTGGAACGAGCGGGCAAAATGAACCAATTGACCGAGAGTCAAAGGGACTAATTTATTTTTCGGAATAGTTCATTTGAACTATTTCCTTTCGAAAAGACACTATTCTAGCCAATTAAGGTAACACCATTTAAAAATATAGAAAATATTTTCAAATGAGGACAATGATGTATTATTTACATCTTTTTTTGAATTTGTAAATAGAAATTTTTAAAAGAAATATATACAAAAACTTCGTATTTGATTTGAAAAGAGATTATCATCACGATCTCTGTTTATTTGTCGAATATTCTGAAATATTCTAAAATTTCAAAATGGCACACAACAACATCAACAAAAATATCAATAAAAATCCATATGACCATAAATGGTAAAAACTTGTATTCAAATGAGATAAATAGAGATTGAGCTCAGTGTGAACAACAACAACAATAAATTTCCAATTGCAACACCTACTCTTAAAAGTTATCGACAAGAATTTTGAAATATGAATTTTGTGAAAAAAATCATCAAAATCTTAGCTACAAAATTATATTCAATCTATGGAATCATGATAAAAATCGAACGAACTCAAATCAACGAGTTTTACATTGGACATTATTAAAGTCTAATTAAATTTAATGATCGTACAGATATACCGAGAAAAGTGTTAATATTTTGTTTTTTTCATCGCACAAAAATTTACATATCAAATGATAAGTACAACAGTAAAAAACAGTTGTGGGTAGCATCGTTAAATCCCTCAATTCATTCATCTTCAGTAGAATAGAATTCCAATACCCCTCATTTATCCCCCAATAAAAATATTCCTTTGGAATTTTAATTATTGTGCGGGCGGACATTACTCTTTTCAATACAATTCAATTGAATAGAATTCAAGTGCATGTATACAACGTACACACTACTCGGCCGCAGTAATTTATTGATAGTCATTTTAATGGAGCAGTAAATCAGAAACAACTGAACAAAAGGCAATGTCATTGCAAATTACAAAATAATATTGAACAAAAAAAATAAGAAAAAAATTAAAAAGAGACAAAGCCGCCAACAATTTGGAATGTCGGCCGCCTATCTCACTCGCTCATCTT